CACCCCTCAGTCTCCTCTGCTCCAGACTAAATAACAATAAGTGAAATAAGCCCTAACGCAGGTGACGTGCGCTGCACCAAGTCTCTAAACACGGATTTTATGGTCACTTAACGGGTTTCTAGCAAAGATTAATTAGCAAAGCCATGGTCCTTAGCAGAGCTCTGACCTGCTGCACCGGGCTGACCATGTCCGGCGTCTCCTTGCCCCAGTAGCACTTCACCACGTGGCCCTCTATGGTCGTCCCGTTGACGGAGACGATGGCGTGCGCGGCGCTCTCGTGAGAGTTAAACCTGCCCAAACAGAAGTGGTACCAGTAAAATCAGCTCCCTCGGGGGGTGAGAGCCAGGAGTAAACCCCCAGAGTGTCCCCTGGAATCACAGAATCGCTCGGTTGGAAAAGCCCTCTGAGATCATCACGTCCAACCGTTCCTGTCTACCCCCTAAACCATATCCTTAAGTACCTCATCTACCCGCTCCTTAAACACATCCAGGGATGGTGACTCCACCACCTACCTGGGCAGCCTGTGCCAGCTTCTGACGACCCTCTCAGGAAAGAACTTCCTCCTTATCTCTGACCTGAACCTCCCTTGGCACAGCTTGGTGCCGTTTCCCCTTGTTCTATCCCCCATCACCTGGGAGAAGAGCCCAGCACCCACCTCTCCACAAGCTCCCTTGAGGCAGTTGCAGGTGGTGATGAGGTCTCCCCTCAGCCTTCTCTTCTCCAGGCTAAACAAGCCCAGTTCCCTCAGCTGCTCCTCATCAGCCTTGTTCTCCAGAGCCCTCCCCATCCTTGTGGCTCTGCTCTGAACACGCTCCAGAATCTCAACATCCTTCTGATAGTGAGGGGCCCACAACTGAACACAGCACTCGAGGTGCGGCCTCACCAGTGCCCAGTACAGGGGGATGATCACCTCCCTGGCCCTGCTGGTCACACTGTTTTTAACAATGGAAGGGACCCCCCACGGTCACTTTTCCTCTCTCGGTGTCCTAAGTCTCTTTAAGACATGGGAAAACTCAGGAGAGCGAGTCAATTTACGATTATTTTTTGTTATATGGAGAAATGAGGATTCTTTTGGAAAAGACCTCGAATCCTGGCCTCAGAAACCCCACTGTGAGATTGCACAAGGGAAACAGGCAGAGATCTCTTGCACTGCACCAGTTCAGACTGGCTGAAGGGTTTCTACTCCTGCCAAGAGCGCTACGAGCCGTAACTCGCTCCTCAGCTGCTGTAAAGCACCCTCTCCAGCTCAGCGCACACCCACCCACCCCTAATTCTTCCTCAACTCATCAAGACACAAGCCTACCGTACAAAGGAGTAGCCTTTATCCGGGAAGACTCGGATCTCCATTATCTGTCCGAAGGGGGAGAAGGTCTGGCGCATCAGCTGCTCTGCAGCAGGAAGAAATGAGAAGGGAAAAATGAGGCAACTGCGGTGCTAATTCGGAGACGTGCAAGGCGAGGGTGGTTGGAGGCCACGGTACCTGTGAGGCCCGACGTGACACCCCCGCAGTACACCGTGCAGTTGCTGGGGCTGGACTGGTTGACCACTTCGTCGTAGGAGAGTTGTTTGGCGTTTGCTGGAAGAGATTTTACAGAGTTTTTCAGTGATCTGATGCAAAATATGGAAAAATTCTATTCCTGCTTGGCATGAGGTGTTGAGCACAAACAGCAAACACCCAACAGGTAGGTCTGATACAACAGATAACCCCATGTACTGAACGAGTCCAGCAGGGCCACAGAGTGATGGAGGGAGTGGAGCATCTCCTGCTGAGGAGCGGCTGAGGGAGCTGGGGCTCTTGAGCTTGGAGCAGAGGAGACTGAGGGGTGCCCTCATTCCTGGGATCCATTTGGAAAGGGCAGTGTCAGGAGGAAGGAGCCAGGCTCTGCTCTGGGATGGCCATGACAGGACAAGGGCAATGGGTGCAGCTGGAGCACAGGTGGTTCATGTGAACATGAGGACAAACTTTGTCAGGGTGAGGGCACAGAGCATGGCCCAGGCTGCCCAGAGAGGTTGTGGAGTCTCCTTGTCTGCAGACACCCAAAGCCCTGGCCGTGTTCCTGTGTGACTGCTCTGGTGCTCCTGCTCTGGCAGGGGTTGCACTGGGGGAGCTTTCCAGGTCCCTTCCAACTCCTGACATTGGGATTCAGTGATTCAAGTTTCTCCAATGGAAATGCTCTCTCTGACACAGCTCTGCTTTGTGTCACCACAGAAAGCCCTGAAATTCAGGGGGCAGAGTTAAAAAGCCAGAGTCGTCCTGGCTGCGTAGAAAGAAAGCGACCTGAAGCCAAAGGGATCCCCCTGCAGCGGTAACAGTCGCTGCTTTATTCCAGAACTCCCTGCTTTCCCCCCTCCCACAACCCCAAGGCTCTCAGCTCGCCCTTTTCTCTTCCTCCTCGGCAGGAGGTTTGCGAAGACAAAGACGTGAGGACCTACATTCGAAGGTACTCTTTGGAGCCGGAGGTTTTCTCGTCGCCCAGTTGGTTCTGATTTGCCTTCCACCCAGCCACTGACCGCCCATCTGCTGGATTGCGTTCTCTGCGTCCTGGCCACGAGAAAAAAAACCCATTGTTGGCATCTCCTCCTTTCGCTACAGAGCCAAACAGACACCACCACCACCCATCAACCCTGCCCACCAAAAGAAATCCCGCTCCCAAAGGAGTTTTGGGCAGGACGAAGCCGAGACCCTCTCGACAGACGGAGGCGTTGCCACCGCTCACCCATTTATTGAAGAAGGAGACGAAGCCGTATCCTTTGGATTTCCCCGTCGCCATGTCCTTGACCACCCGCGCGTCTCTAGAAAGCAGAAACGAGAGGCAGCTCAGCGCCCCGGCAGGGCGGCCGTGGCAAAACGACAACTCGAGTCACACCTACAGCTCATTGGCACGTTTCACCTGCGCTACACGGCAACTCTTTACTGCGCCAGCAACACGGTCAAAGCAAAAGGCTGCTTTTCTAAACGGAACTTTACTAAATGCTTTGCCAGGTAGTAGCAAAAATTAAACTTAAGTGTGTAAAACATGCAAATCAATAGCTTCTCTACCAAACTTCTCCCGCTTCAAAATGCTTTTACGGGCTGTTAAGACACAAAGCATGGTCAAAGCAGCTATTCAAAGGAATCACTGAAGGCACGGAGCTGACTAACATTAGCTGAACGGCTCTCTTTAACCATGCAATCTTTAAACTCGCTATTTGCCAACACATTCTACCTACTCATTCAAAATATTAAATAGAGAAAAAAAAAAAGAACAAACAAAAAAAAACTAAAAGGAAAAAAAAAAGATAGGAATTAAAAGGCATACGTCGCCTGTTAACTGAATTCTTTAATTTTCTCGGGTCAATTCGTTACCCCCTTTTTGGACTGTGGGCAGCTGTAAATTTTGAGAGATTGACATTTTCAGAAATTATTGAAGAAAAGGAAACACCGCAACATCCGCGTCTTAAAAAAAAAAAACAACAAACAAAACAACAAACTACATTTCACACATCATTTAAACTGCATTTGTACAACAGCAATCATACAGGACTGATTGGTCACTACAAGATAGAGATAGATAGATAGATAGATAAATATATATTAAAAAAGAGAATAATAATTTAAAAAAAAAAAAGAGATTGATAAAAGTAAATAAGAAAACTACAACGTTTGTCCACTGTGAACTGTAGCTTGTAGTTAGCCATGGCAATTCTGTCCATTCTTCAGAGCCACTCTGCAAAATAACCAGAGCCCTATTATTTGAGATTGAGTTACAACCAGAACCCAGCTACAAGAGCTAAACCCCGCTCCACGGCGTTTCTCAGGCAATTTGTGTACGAGTTGGGTGAGGGGCGAGATGCTCCCGCGTCCGGGCCCCCCTCTCCTCCCCTCCTTCGCCCCGCGCTGACGGGCATTCAAAGAAGAGCAATGACGTGAAAAAACCACCGGTCAGGAAGCCACGCAGTGGAATTACGGCTCTATCAAACAGTAACAGGGGTTCAGAGAAAGCAGCGTTAATGTTTAGCATCTCCAGACTGGTGAGAAAAGTTGTGAAGAGGAGGTTTGTTACGCTCAGGGATTTTTAAGCCCCGTGGTAACGGCAAATGCTGCATCACCAACCTAATTCTGGCATGTATAGCGCCAACGAGCCCCAGGAAAAGACCTCTCTCCCAAAGCTACGGCACAAATGGGATTTCTTTCCTCTCTGCACCGCCCCCCTTCCCCCTCTTCTGTCTCTCCCTTCATGGCTTAGGTCAGAATTTGGGTGGCGTGTTACAAATTGCCTGAGAAGAGCCACTTTGGTTAAGCTTAGGTGGGTTTGCTCTGAAGAGCCTATAGAGGGAAGGGGGGAAAAACTCATCTCTACTTACCCTCAACCGAAAACTTTGAAAATAAAGACTTGAGAACAAGTGAAAACATGCGGACAGCAAGCATCAAAGGAAACCACAATGAACGTGTGCTTTTACAGTGATTGAAACACCCCGGATGCAAAGAATTACCAACATTTCTTATGTGCTAATCATGCAGCAGTTCGACCTCGGTGTCATTACAAAATAACGAAGATAATGTTAAAAAAAAGAAAAGAAAATCAGGGGATATTCCTTTAGCACCACATTTCCAGAAACTGCTCTCTGGTGGAGAACAGGTAAAGTCCATTCAACCGCCGAAGAGGCAATAGTTACATTTATTCAGATTAAACTTAAGTAGAAAATCGAGGTCCCTTCGGCTTTATTTAACCCCTCAGGTTTGGAATAAGAGCTCAAAGGAGTCATTAGAGGGATAATTTTTAATGTATTGTGTTTGCGGGGCGAAAAGAAGGGAGTTTTGTTTTGGACAGTCAAGTTTTCCAGCTGTTCCAGCTGTGCGCTCAATGCCCCCAAAGCCAGAGCATCGGCCCCTTCCCCATCACCGCCACCACGCAGCAACAGCTTGCGCCCAAAAAAGCTCCTCTGGAAAAGACGGGAGGATGAGCACAGCCCTGGAAATACACGGACTGATGCCCACTGTGGCTTCATGCTCCCCCAGCTGACGCTCAGCCGTTACGCAGGAGGGGTTTATTTTTTGGGGGGTTGTTTAAGGTGGAAATGTCCCCTCAGAAAGCCAGCGCTGGCTCAGGGGACACTCGCAGCTCCCTCACGGTGCCATCATCGCGGCCGTCTGGCCCTGCCTCCCTCCTGCACTCATCCTGCATCTCAGTGTCCCTCGTCCCTTCCATGCAGACCGCGCTTGGCCAGAGGATCAATGGACTCCCCTTCAGAGCCCCATCTCTGGATGGCAATTACAAAGGCTGCAGCCAAGCGTTGTATTTGTCTGAGGCGAGTCACGTATTTTGGGTTTTTTTAAGCCTTATCGTAAGAGGAAATCAAGCTGGTGTTAAGAGAGCAATAAACTGGACTCTTGAGGGAGAAAAAAACAAAAAATCAAAAAACAAACTTACTTCAATTAAACGCTTCACTACACAACACTCCAAAGCACTCTACGTTCTCTTACACCACCATCAAGAAACTTCAATGTCCAGTACAGACAACACTACAAGGAAAATTAATGGTTTACATGTGGAGGCTGCAATGAACGAACCGCTCCGTACTCTGCTGCACCCTGCACACACCAAAGACCTGCCAGTTTGGCGCGCGTTTGCTCGCTCCGCCATCGCCCTGCACCGCTGGCATGAGCGCGACTCCTCGACCCGAGACGCCCTGCGGTTTCGGCCGAGCCGAAAAAAAAAGGGTTCATTTTGTGGGAAAGGAGAAATTAACTGGGAAATAATAATAATAATAATTAAAAAAAAGCCATTTTCTACTGGTGGCCGTGGCTTAAAAATACCCAAAGCCTCACGAGAGGTGAGCGTGCAAACGGATTCGGTCACAAACTGGACAACGTGTTCCTGAGCTGATGGCTGAGGGCGCCAGCGAAATGCAAACCCCAGGCTCAGGAGTCATTTTTGATTTGAGCGTTGGATGTGACTTTTCTAGGAAAGCAGAATAAGCTCCTACAAAGGAACGGGGTTACACGTACCCCAACCGTTCAGACCCAAGTCGCTGCGTGAACAGAGGAATGAATATTCCTGCACTGCCACAGCTCTCCTCTTTTACTTACTGAAACTTAAGGCTGCCTCCATTTAGGAGAGAGAACTTTTGAGTTTGTTTGTCCTCAGAAATTACTTACGATATTCTGCCGAACGGCGCGAAAGCTGCTTTTATATCTTCAGTTGTAATTTCTGGACTGAGGTCTCCGACGAAGACGTGGAAATGGTCTTTTTTTTGGAGGGAGGAGGAAATATAAGAGAGAAAAAATAGGATCTTAATGTTTCCAGACGATCTCTGAACACCGCGCACAGAGCACAGCAATTCCACCACGGCTTCCCACCTATCATTAAAAACTACACGAAAAAAGGAGTTTACTATTAAACAGAATTCACTGCTCTCCTAACAGAGCGATGAAGTCGGTGATTTTAAGGACTGCACGATGCCACACGGCATTTACATCTTCTATTTGACACGCTGCTTTTAAGACCAGTCAGCATTTAGGGTACAAGGTCTTAAACGTGCCAAGACTACACAAAAATCCTTCTCTCCATATGCCAGTGTTGTTTCGACACGGCGGGAGATCGCCGAGTATTCAAAATTCAGCTGAAACGTTTGGCAGGTTCAAGAAATGCAGGATAACTCTTGTTGCAGAGCAGCATGTATTTTGAACCTTGCCATGATGTCTGGTTTAACACCAAAGGTGAGGAACAAATCAAAACAATACCTCGCATTGCAACAGTTTGCTGTGAAAAGATTTGAGTGCTGAAAAGCCAACAGTTTTGGTTGCCCAGCCAATACATCGTGTGAATGTAATGGGTGTGAGTCCATGTGCAAGTGAGCTACGACTGAACGCACCAGAATGGAAACAGGAATCCCTCTAGTTCAGATCAGAGCCATAAAAAACACACACCAAAGTGAGAGTCCTGTATCCAAGGAGCTTTCCACTACAATCGAACATGTCCTGGTTGGAGCTAAACAGAACTCGTTTTCTATTTGGTGATTTTACTTTTCAGCTCAGTCTCTTTTAAGTGGCTGAACTTGCTGAAAACCAGCAGCACGTTTTTCCCAGTGCTGCTAGAAGATAAGCTCAAGGCCACTGTCTCACCACGGGTGCCGTGTCTGCGCCTATGGGGGGGGAGCAGACCCAAAACTGACCAAGGAGGTATTGCATCCCACATACGTCATACTCCGTATAAAAGCCAAGGGATCATGAGGGTCTCGATTCCTTCTTCCATCTTAGAGCCCTTTCCATCCTGGACCCTTCCTTCCCTCTCCACCCCTGCAATGGCCCAAGGCCCAGCAGACCCTGCTGCTTCGGCTGCCTCTCATCCTCAGCCCTGTGCTCCTGCATCAGCTCCCACTGCTGCTGGCTCCACACTGGGACTTTTCCAGTGCTCCCAGAGCTTCTGGGGATGTCATCGTCATTGGGGGAGGATTTTATATTGGTTTTGTATCTATATTTGTACATATCTGTCTATATTTCATTATTTTCCTGTTTACATCATTATCCTGTAGTATCAGTGTTATTGTTTCATTAAACCTGTACATTTTCTTTTCCAACCCGTAAAGTCTCTCTCCCTTCTCCTCTTTTCTCTTCCCTTCTGGGGAGGTCAGAGGAGTTCACAGAGAGCGTCTGGCCAGGGTTTAGTGGCCAGCCCAGCCCTAAACCATGACAGAACACTATGCCATGTACCATCTTAGCAATACAAGGGCTTATTTGTGCTACAGCAGGTATGACATTCCCATGTCCATGTGGATGCTGATTTAGTTGAGCTCCACTGGACTACAGAAATTCAGGAGCGCACACAGCAGCCCCACAGGGAGCCAAATATTCTGCCTCGATAGTGGGGAACGAGGGGGTTTTGGATTCCTTCTTACAATTGCACTGGTGACAAACAGCTGGAAATCAGCACCAGAACTCAACGGGCACCAGATCACTTCCTGATGCTTCAGGGAAATGAAAGGGAAGACTTGCCATAAAAACCAGATTCATAAGGAACAAAAACCCCATACCTAGCTTTGTGTGCACACCCCTGGGAGGTTTCAGTTTCTGTTTAAGAAGATACAATTACCTCGTGAACGCCGCGTGCTGACAACCGTACTACCTGATGACAAAGATCACATTTGCTCTTAAGGTCATTAACACAGACACATGAAGTAACATCTCAGGATTACGATCAAAGCATCACTGCGTGTAACTGCACGACGCTTACGGTTTAGGTTTATAAATTACTTGTACAAATCAGGACGTACTCGGAGCGTACACGACACTTACTGCTGGTGTCTTTCTTCTGGCTGCTGGGGGTGGTCGCCCAGTTCACTTTGACCTCCTGCAAACGTCAGTCACCAATGTTAGATCACGAAAGCGCACCCAGACACCTCCACCGCTTCATCCTGACGCTACAGGGGCACCAGACATGCAAGTTTGGGGTGAAAGCTCAAGTTTAAGACATGCTTCTCGGGAGAGGGTTTGTTTCTCTGAATCACATTGCACTGGTTAAGAGAAAAGATGGAAACAGAGCGGGTCTGGGAGTTTGGTTTGGGTTGTATTACAGGGTTGGGAGGGGGACGTTACCTTGATAAGGTGGGCAGAGTTAAAATATTCCTTACACCCTCCCTCCCCAGTTGTACAACCCCTTCCTCTGCATTCTTCCTACAGCAGCCCAAACAGCTCCTGCTCTTAATTATGCCACGTTAAGACCTCCATCCAAACAAAGTGCCTGACATTTGCAGTGTACCCGCTCCGTCTCAAGCGGTATTTCACCCACACCGCCCTAGACAGCCTGATTTTCCACTCCAACTCACCCTGTAGACACGACAGCTTACCTTACCCATTATCTTCCGGCCGTTCATGGCAGCCAGCGCTGCAGCCGCGTGCCGGTGCTCATAGAACTCCACAAAGCAGTAGGGATCATTGCCAGCTGTCTGATAAAAGGAAAAAAACCAGAGGATTACTGATACAAACCTCCTCAAACCGTACCCACGCTATTCTACTCGGTCTTGATTCATTAAGTCTGTATGTCTCAAAATGTGTAGGCTTTTTTACTCGACACTGAGAGCACAGCCAGTGCAGTAACAAAGCTCCAGGAGGTTTCAGTTCTGCTTTGAAAGGGTAAAAATACAGCAAAGATGAACTTTTCAAATCTCATCTACAACAGAATCACAGGGTGTGAGGAGTTGGAAGGGACCTGGAAAGCTCCCCCAGTGCAACCCCTGCCAGAGCAGGATCACCAGAGCAGTCACACAGGAACATGGCCAGGGCTTTGGGTGTCTGCACACAAGGAGACTCCACAACCTCTCTGGGCAGCCTGGGCCATGCTCTGTGCCCTCACACTGACAAAGTTTGGCCTCATGTTCACATCAACCTCCTGTGCTCCAGCTGCACCCATTGCCCTTGTCCTGTCATGGACATCCCAGAGCAGAGCCTGGCTCCTTCCTCCTGACACTGCCCTTGCCAAATGGATCCCATGAATGAGGGCACCCCTCAGTCTCCTCTGCTCCAAGCTCAAGAGCCCCAGCTCCCTCAGC